GCATCGGATTACCCCTATAGGCGAAGTTTCATCGAAAATTAAAATTTTGAGTTTTTGGGGGTGTAATAGTAGAATAGTACCCAAATTACTCCGGGAAACATGTGGTTATTGGTAAACATAAGTATTCTAAATACGTAGAAAAGTGGGCAGTTACTAAGCTGCAAATTTAATAGCAGCTGCTTATCGGTCCTTTGCTTAAACTGACACATTATTCACATGCTTCAGTTTCCCTTAAAAACACTGTGAGTACTAGAAAATAGGTTTTCCAAACATTAAGAAACTACTTGACCGAAACTCAACTACTAATTTCATGTAGAATATCAACAATATCGCATAAAACAAGATACAAATTGTTATCGAAAACTGAAGTGATGACTCTAAATAGAGAGGCGGCACATGCAAGACCAACACACTAACAAATAAACACGACATAAAAAAAAGAAAATAGGCTCGTGACGAAGTGGCACCTTACGGTCATTCTCAGTTTTTTTTGCTGAGCGTACGGTAGTCCGTCAAATCCGTAATGCCTGGATTTACGTACAAATATTGACTTGTCTCACTGCTCTACTGCACTCACGAACTCAAATTATCGTTCACTATTGCCATTTCAGAAGACAAGTTTGAGTAAAGACTATGACGGTCTGTCAAGCCTTATTTGCAATAAAAGTGCACATATAAAAAGTAACAGACGAACTAAGACAAATAGACGTGAAAATCGACAGATTGTGTTCACCCGTCTACATATACACCCATGCATGTATGTACAGTAACCGTGATTTCAGTTTTATTATTTTCACTGAGATGTAAGTTACTTACAAAATCGATTTTTACAGTTTTCACGGGTTATCCACAACAGCTTCGCATTGCAAGGTCAATCAGTGAAGAAAAATGCGGAATCGGATGCTGATTCCAGACGGATGAGTTCCGCTTTAAATAAATCCCGCCGATGTGATGAATCCTTCGAAGGAGTTTTAGCTACCCGAGCGATTAATATAACATCAACGAGATCAGTAGTTTTGTAAGGTATGTCTCCAGTGATCAGCTGTCGACAGATGCTTTCCTTCCAGGCAACCGCTGATTATCCATGAGCGAATCACCATCATTTCCTGCTAGCTAAATGAAAATACGTCAATTTAGTTGAAATGAGTAAAGCCAATGTAACAAATTTCCTCAAAACTGAAGCGATCCTCGTCACGACGTCTTATCCTAGACCATTTCAGGGGGAAGAACACGAGCTAATACAAAGTGCTCTCGATGATGGGGGCCTAGCAGTTCAGCTGGCAATCGTAAACTATGGAGGCGCTTTCTTCGCGTGCGTAGGAATAGACAGTTCCGTGCTTCTGCTTATGAGTAAGGAATAGAGAAGTTGATTTTCCACTTAATCGCCCAAAAAACTCCACAACCAAGGATTGTCTCATGGGTGGAGTCCTTTCTATTATGCCGCTCGTTTCAAGTCAGGGTCAGAAACACTTTTTCCACTATCAGGTCAGCTCCGAGCGGGGTTCCGCAGGGTAGCGTCTTATCGCCTGTGCTATTTTCCATTTATACCTACGACCTCCCGCATTTGGTGGAGGAAATAGGTGTTAAATGTAAAATGTTTGCGGACGATGTCAAAATTTACAGGGCATTAAGTTCAGTGACGGAGTCTGCTTTGATTCAAAACGCCATTGATGCTATCTTGAGTTGGTCCAAGACATGGGAGCTACCCCTGGCGCCTGAGAAAACCGTTGTTCTTCATATAGGGAAAGATCAGGTCAGCAGCAGCTATCGCATTGGTGACGTCGAGCTCAGGAAAGTTGATGAAGTTAGAGATTTGGGTTTTATAGTCGATGGCAAACTTAGCTTTGAATCCCACTGCAAATATATATCAAATAAAGCTGAGTCGAGGCTCTTTCAATTGCTAAGGAGTCTTTATACCAAGGACCCATGCCTTCTAATAAGGGCGTATAAGGCCTTTATCCGCCCTATGCTAGAGTATGGCACTGTTATTTTCTATCCGCATAATAAAAAGGCTATCTCGAGATTGGAGACCATCCAAAATAGTTTTACTAGAAAGATATTAATTCGCGCTCTAGGCTTCAACTATAACGCTATACCCAGAGGGATTGTAAGGAACAAAATGCTCGGTTTGGAGTCGCTGCAATGTAGAAGGAAAAAATTTGATCTCGTGACAGCATTTG